CAGAAGGTGGCAGCCATGATTAATCGAAATCTAATATAACCCAAATTAAAATAACTACCAAGCAGTTCAGAGATTATTTAGAACCTAGGTGTCAACTATAGTATTCTTAATGATGTGAGCCTGATTCAGTTTTCTCTGAGGAAGGTACATGAACTACCTCCTGCATTTACTGAATTCAGACAACTATTTTGAAAGTATTTAAAAAATCCTTATGGATATATTTTAAGTTCAAGGAGTGAGTGAGGAGTAGCCAGAACCTTCAGGACAAACAGACACTCCTGATGAGTTCTATTGCACAGGTTTGAGTCACATTGCAAAATCAGTGTGATGATTTGTATAGTTTTTCTTTCAGTCGGAGCACACATCATAACAATCGTATACAGACAGGCCCGCCAACGTGGCAATTCAAAAGAGCCTGCGACTCCCTGCCACCACTACTGCAAGGCTCCGCTCCAGGTCCTTTAAATCCCCACTGGAGCCTCAGGCAGTGTTTCAGGCAGCACTGGGAGGTGGAGTGGGGGAGTGCTGAAGTTCAGGCAGCGCTGAGGGCTGGTTGCCCAGGCCCTACCCCTTCTGGAAATATGGAGCTGTCCCTCCGCCCCACCTTGCCCAAGTGCCTGGTGAGACTGTCAGCAGTGGACAGGGTTGTGAACCTGTGTGCAGTGGGCACCATTTTGCTCTACCGTGCTGCCTGGCGTTGCAGGAAGCAATGCAATCTGAAAATGGGGAGATGGAGGCAAAAAGTTTGTGCACCACCAGTCTAGAACCTGACAGCTGCCTCTCTGAGGTCTAAGGGAGCTTTGCTATTGACAGGGTCCAATCTCATGGTCTTGTTTCAAGTCTCACCTTATTTGGTGTAATTCTTGAAGCCTCAGCTGGTGGAGATTGTGTGAGAAACTCACCTTGCATGAAAAAAGCTGGGAGTTTCTAGCTCTAACGAATTGCAGAGAAAAGGTTTAAGTGTGAAACTAGAGTACCCTAAAGTCTCAGAAATCAGAAGGCAAAAAATCCAAAGGTGGTATTTTTTTTAAATCTCCTGATTTTTAAGGCAATCATGATTTTTGGGAGCCTCAGCTCATGATTTCTGAGGTTGGCAATAATGCACTGACTTCACTTTGCAAAGGATCAAGCCCCTAGTTCCTCTAGTCTTCAGCTCTGAACCTGCAACCACTTAAGCACATGCAAAACCTTTCTCAGGGGAGTTCAATGGGATTATTTGTGTGCAAGTGATTGCAGCGTGGCAGCAATAGAGAAGAATTTCCATTTTGGTTACATGGGAATTTTGGCTATTCAATTTTTAAATAGGTATCTTTCTTTTGCCCACAGGCTGGGTCAAAGCTGAAGGACTCAAATATAAGACTTTTTGGGTTTTGTGGATTGTGTGTTCTCCCTTTGTAATTTCCTCTCCTGATCATTTTGTTGCAGGGGTGGCCAACCTGCAGCTCTTGAGCCTCAGGCAGCTCCTTTGCTTAAAGAAATGCGGCTCTTGTTAGGTCTGAGCCACGCACCTGGACTGTTCACGCCGGATGTTCTGCGTGCACGCACCCCAGCACCAGCAGGGAGAAGCTCATGACAGCAGCAGCTCCAGGACCTAGGCATTGGGTTAGAGTGGGGGAGAGGGGCCTGGGAGTGCCTGGCTCTGGGGGAGTGGAGGGAGATAGGGTTAGAGCAGGGGAGGAAGGAAGGGGGCACAAAGCACCTTAAACTCAAAGTCTTCATGGATGCAGAATAAGGCAGCCAACACGGATGTCATATTTAAATTCCAGGGCAAAAAAAGAATCAGCATGTACCTAATTTACACTGTGTTTCTTTAAAGAAAATTCAAAGACTATTGTTTGCCAGGCTGAAGCAATTATTCTGAGATATGAGTCCCTCCCTTATTGTTTTTGAACCTCTCATATTTGCAGTCTGAGACAGACCTGAACTTTGAGAACTATAAAAAAGCCATAATCTTCATAAGTAAGAAAAATGAGAAAATCATATCAGAGATCAACCACCTGGAGTGAAATAGGCACTTCAAATTGTGCTAATTTACTTCTCAGTTCAGTTTAATTTTAAAAAACTCACAGGACATAATAGGGCAGTAGTGTTAAATTTAAAATACATGGTGGGATGCTTTTTTTTTAGTGTGAGAATATTACTGAATTTTTAAAGTTTTTTTTAAATTTGATTCTTGTTCCCTGTCAAGTTCTGTGAAGATCTATGGACTGGAGAGTCACCTTGATTCCAGCTCCTGGTGGAGCTACACCAGTGCAAACCTCCAAAAGTAGACAGGGAAAGACTCAATAAGCCATAAATTGCATCTGTGTGTTTTGCAACCATTTCAGCTGGGGAAAGTTCTCCTAGTGCAAATAAACGTTTTGTGGTCTACACCAGAGGCTTGTACTGCTGCAGCTATATCGGGGCTGCCCATCAATGGCTGAAATTAGGGCAAATTCCCCTAGTGGACAAGGCATGTGCCCTCAAAACTTTCAAATGATGGTGGCAGCATTCTAAGGAGGAAACCTGTTTACCAAAAAACTGTTAAATGACGCCTCTTAGTCACAACTATTCTGGGTCTAAATTCAAGCCAAAGTAGATGTGAAATGCTTCATCATCTGTATTACCAATCCCATGGATCATCTAGTCTGCCTGCATCTCTTCTTTCCGTTAAAGTCCAAATTACATGTTATAGGATTTTCTTTATTGATTAGGAACATTATATCAGCTAAGAGTTATTTTTAAAAGGTAGGGAAAATTTTATGTTGAAGTATACTTCTGTTATGATTCTGTACTATTTTTAGGTAAATCTGTATGCTATGTTTTTTGTGGAGATGTTAACTTTTAACGAAATATTTGAAAAGGTCACTGATGTTCTTTATCTTATGTGTTTTGTAATTTCTGTGCAAATAAAGTTATGTGAAACTGCAGAATCATAGAAGTGTAGGATTGAAAGGCACCTCAATAGCCAGGTTATCTAGACGTGTCTCCCGCATTCTAGGCAGGATTACATGATAACTAGACCATGATTGACAGGTGTTTTTCTAACCTGTTAATTGAAACCTCCATTGACAGACATTTCACCACCTCCTTAGGCAATTTATTCCAGTACTTCCCTACTCTGACAGGAAGATTTTCTTAATGGCCAACCTAAACCTTTCTTGCTGCAATTTAAACCCTTTGTTTTTTGTCCTATCCTCAGAAGTTATCAAGAACAATTTTTCATCCTCTTTCTTATAATAACTATTTATGCACTTATAGAGAATTGTTATCAGTTTCCCCCACCAATTTTCTCTTCTTCAGAGTAAGCAAATCCTATTTTTTAAATCTGTCCGCCTAGCTCTTGTTTTCTTTAAGTCATTTTTGTTGCTCTTTTTTGGACTTTCTCTAATTTAGCCACCTTTCCTGACATGTGGTGCAATATTCCAGCTGAAGTCTTATCAACATGTAATACATCCCCAAATGATATTTACTATTTTTGCAATAGCGTTACATTGTTGACTTAGGGTTCCTTTGAGCAGCCTATTAGACAAAAAGTAATTTTCAGATTCTGAGAGAAATATTTGCTTCTCAAATAATATTAATTATTACTAAGAACAATAAAACTTCATTATCAGTCTGATCCTGATATATCAATATTGTACTAGTAGGTAATCAATTGCTTTTCTGTTTGATTAATACCAGCTTGCAATCTGATAGCATGGTATTTTTATTCAAGAGAACACTAAAGAAACTCAAAGAATTAACGAGATACCATTCAAGTTCTCTCAAAGGTCCTATCTACACTAGCTGTTTTCTTTTTCATTTCCTGCTCTTGTTACCCCCCAGTTCAGCATCTCTACTGATAACAAAGCTGAGAGCACTAGTTTAGACTACCAGTGCTTCAATTCCATGCTCTGAACTGGTGTACATGACTCAGTGGTTAAAACACAGATGGCTGGTGTTCACTCACTGTCTATATATTATACAAGAGTTTAAATGACATCAGACATAGGTTTTTGGTTTCTTTAAAATTCGTTTTCAAATTACCAGCCTTATTCAAGATTTTTGTTATGACTTGAACATCGTGCAGCAGGTTGTTTGGGGTATTGCTGGTCATTGTGAAACATTTTCAGTCAACATATGGAAGTTCTTGCCAGATCAAAAGATACGAGCTATGTTAATCCACCCTAATAGTAATATTTCTATTTTTGAAGGCATTTTCTGGAATTACAATGAACATTAAACGAGAATAGGTAAGGCTTTGGCTGTGGATAAGTTTAATATTATGTATGTGGAGGTCTTAATGTCCTCACCTACTTCTGAGCATTTTGAAAAAACATTATGCAGTGTTTACTTCCAGGGTGGGGTAACGTGTAGCCTGTCTCTCAGGCCAGAGACTAACATTTCCTAATGTAAATTTCTCAAGTGATGTTCCTAAATCCATAGTTAGGCATCTGAATAAAAGTGACTTACTATTCAGACACAGCACCTAACTGGATTTAAGGAACCCCTCTTGCAGACACCAAGGCTTGAAAGTTTTCTTCCACATTTCCAAAATTCTACAAATCATCACAAAAGTCTGTCTTTACATCTGAGGAAATGGAAAAGAAACCCTTCAATTGCTGTAGAGGAGGAAATCAGCAATTGCTGCAGTTTGGAAATAATATCATGTTTTCTCCTAACTGAATCTGCAGAAATATCCTTCCCCCAGCTTAGGAACCCCCCAAAAAAACTTCCCCTTCCACACTATTGAGGAATCCACAGAAATCTCTACAATGGTCCTTATTTAAGCCTTGCAAGAAGTGTGCTTCATGCATACTTCTCCCATTATGTCACTATAGTTGTATTTTACAGCAAAAACATGCAATTTTCTAAACTATTTATGAAAAAAGCCTAACTACAGCTTGCAAAATCAGGCAAAGGAAAGGAAATAAGATTGCCCTGCCGCTTCTGTAGCTCTCACAATGCCTAGCATTTTGCACTATTACAACAATGGAAAGAATCTTTGCAACCAGCATTTAAACAGCAGATTAACTTACCTTTCAAATCGCCAACTTGAGACACTGGCTCTTCTCACCGTTTACACCCTTAGAAGTAAGTGAAAGACTTTGAGAATGTCTGAGCTAAAGAGTTAAATATTTTCTTTCCAGATCTTTTGGGGTCAGCCTTGGTACCAAGCTGGTTACACCAGAGTGTATTCTATATGAGCATACAGGCTATTTGTATTTTCTTTGGTCGTTAAAAAAAAAAAAAAGCCTCAGTAGAGATCCTCTCTTAAGGCAGCCTGCTCAAACTTAATCAAAACAGCTCCTGGCTGTAAAAGGAGGCAGCATGTGGCTAGGCTAATGCTCAGAGGGGAAGAAGAGAACAGCCCACAAATAACTAAATATCTGTTGTTAAGAGAAAGTCAGTTCATGACACTTTTCTGGTGCAGGAGGAGGAACCAAAAACAAAGAGAGAGAAGAAGCAAACAAGTGCATCTGGTTCTTGTAGGCTCCAGCCTCCCAGCTGCAGGGACTATGTGCAGTCCAGATTTCTCCTGCTTTAAAAGAACAGCTTGTGTCCCTCCCCAATTCCTGTGGCTAGGGAGTGGCTTAGCCCTACCACCAGTGTAAAAAAAAAAATAGATAACTTTCCCACAACTTATTAATTTGAAAACAAGATGGTTTAGACAAAATGATGCACTTATTTGGAATATGTGGCAATAAGCCCAAATCAGACCAAAGAGGATGCCTTTTTTGAGTCTGTCTTTCCCAGATACCAGTCTTCCCCCTTTCCACATCTTTTGTCTCAAGGCTTCCCATTTTTGTTAACTGCTTTAAAAAATTAAAAGCCCAAAGAACTATTGGGCAATCTTGTATGACTCCATCAAAGTTCCCTATCTGGAAAGTGGAGGTTCGGTATACTGCATACTCTGCACCAGTCCTGGGCTCCAGACAGTACTTAACTTACACCCGGTGGCTGGAATTGTCAAAGGAGTCTAAAGAGTCTGTTGGCCAAATCTCATATTTCTAAGGCCTCGTCTGCATGGGACACCACTGTGTGGCAAATCTAGTGTGAGTCTACAGTGCGCTAACTTGCCATGCAGTTGCATCCTGGGTGAATGCTGCTACAGGGCTCTACAAGTCCCAGAGCGTGCTTTGACTTACCATGCTTTCGCAGCAGCCAAAGAACACTTTGGAACTTTCAGGGCTCTGTAGCTGTTTCCAGTGCTCAATTTGTAATGAAATGGGTGCTGGGGCTATGCACTGCCAAGCAGGGCCATACCTAGAGAGGCGTGGGGCCAGGAATACTTCTCCAGTACCCTGCACTCGGGGTTCAGGGCAAGCCTGCCAGCAGACCCCGCTCCACCTCTGCTGCGCCTCACCCTGCCCCTACTCTGCTCCTTTACCCAAGCTCCACCTGTGCTATGCCCCTTCCTGTCCTTGTTCTCCCCCTTGTCCCCTCTCCCACATGACTCAAGCCAGGGGGATTACCAGGGCCTGAGTGCACAGTGGCAACAAGGGTCACCCCTTGCACTCACCATGGCAACAGTGAGTTGGAGCAGCCCTGGGGCTGGGGCTCTCTGCTTCCTGCTGCCAAGGAGAAGCCAAGCGCAGCAGGCTGAGAGGGCAGCGGGGCAGGATGGAGAAGGCTGCTGAGCTGGGCTGCCTTGCCTCCCTGTTGCCGCAGTGAGTGTGGCGTGACCGCTGCTGCCTAATGCCAGCCTGTGACAGGACGAGGCAGCCCCGCACAGAATCCGCAGGGCCCTGCCAGGGTTACTTGGCTGCAGAGGCCCCTCCCCCACAGCCCTACCGAGCGTGCCCGGGCTGTAGCTGCACTATAAAAGCCTGGGGAAGATCTCAGTCTGGGCTGGCAGCTGGAGGAGAAGGATTTGTGAAAGTGGTGCCTGAACAGCAGCAACCATAGGCTCCAGAAGAGGCTGATGGGGATATGGAGGTGAGTTGGTGCACTGCAGGGGCTGTGTGCTGAGGAGATGCAACCCCAGAGGGTGCAGTAAATTGGATGGGGGTGTGGGAAGGAACCCCAGTGGACCAGGTAGGAAGTGGCCCAGGGCAGGAGCGGGAGCATCCTCTTCTGCTGCAAGAACCTCAGCATGTTTTGGCTGGATTTCCCTGCTGAGGGAGTGGTATGCTGTCTGGTCACTCATAGGGCCCTGGGCCAGGTCCTGGTGGAGTAGGGTGGGCCCTGGTCCCCCTACCTGGGGTATGTCCCTGCTATAGCGCTGAACTGTCAGTGCAGGCCCTGCCTTAAAGGGCCAGACTTAAACTGTGTTAATGGACTCAGGCTGGAGGGCCTAGCCTTAATGGGCCCTGTGGGGTTGTGTGTATTGACTTGGGCCTGGCCTCATGGGACTGTGTCGAACTGTGCACGTTGGGGCTGTGCTAGCCGGCACGGGGTCTCCCGCTGCCCTTGAGAGGGGCCAGGTGGCAGCTCCCATATGATTGTTGAGGCAGTTGCTGTGGCCTCTTGAAGCCCAGGGCCTGGGGTGGCTGCCCCAAACCATCCTATATATGAGATGGCTCTGCTCCTGAGCCTAGAGGGGTGGCGCTCAGCCTTTATTATTCCTGGCACAAATTAAGCACTGGCTCTGCCTGCATAGGATGTTATAGCAAAGCAAGCTCCCACAGTGCAGATTCACACAGTAATGGCAGACAAGCCTTAACACACTTTGGTGCCTCTAAAAATACACATAATAATATCCATGCCTCATGATTTGGACCCCTATGTATAATAGGTCTTGACACACAGGAGGAAAAGCAAAATTAAGGCTCAGATGCTATCCTGCAAGTCAGAATAGCAGCATTTTGCTGCTTCATGCTAGACCAAGACCCAACAGGACGTGTGTGCATGTGTCACTTGAAACCTAGTTAGTGTTCCTCATTTTTGTGCATCCAGGGGCAGGTCAGGAGCTCTCTCAGCCTTTAATTGAACAGAGCTATAGAATCACTAGTAAAGAGATTTTTTTTCCACCTGTGCAAAGGGTGTTTGAGATACATAGGTGTTAACAAAAATATGCAGGGTTAAACTGTCTGAGGAAAAATGCATGCTCCCTCTCGATTGTAGTGTCTACTCCTTGATGCCTGTATGGCTCTAATCCTATCCGTTTTCCAACCATCCCTAGCACTTACCTGGAAAAACAGTAGATGAGACTGCAGTTTCTGATATCAAAATCTGTGTGTGTGTAATTTAAAGTCTGAGACTTTCATTATTTAGCTTGTGAAACAAAGCAGTCCCAACCCAAGCTCAGCTGGTTTCTTTGTGTGTGACTCTAACACTTGCTAGAAAGCAAGGAGAGCTGGAAGCACAATGGAGTTGTTCCCTTTCCTTTTCATTGCAACAGAGCAGCCATCCCCTTTGGACAAAGCAACTGTGGGAAGTCTGCCCATGCTAATCCTGGGTTAAGCAGTTGCAGGTTAGCCTATCACACTACCGTGTAATCACACTTCTTGTTGGCCTGCTGCTCTCACTCGCTGTACAACTTCTTGTTGGCCTGCTGCTCTCACTCTCTGTATCTGCATTGGTGCTGTAGCTCAATGATAAGCAATACTGCTATCTAAGCAGGTGTTACCCAAAATTGTGTCACAGCTCACTGCAACTCTCTGCCCTTGCACTCACAAGATGTTGTGCGGCAACTTGTCAGCCCACTAAGGGGATAGTGAAAGGAAATCATCAAGACCTGGGAACTTTGATTCCTGGCAGGCCTGTGCTGCTGTGGTGGTGGTCTGTGACATGCAAGAATATGAACCTTGCTCATGTTAAGAACTCGTGCGTCTATGGAGGCATGGTTTCTTTTTTGTTCATCTGCAGAAGCTGTTGCTGGGACGTGTTGGGAGGTGTTTCAAAGGCTGCTTTTGATTTGGAGAAGGTTAAGGTGGAGGCTTACAAGCAGAAGGGGACCAGGTGATGAGCTAAAGATGGAGGCGTGGAGCATGCTGATGCTGTTTTTCACAGCAGATTCCTCCTTCTGCAGATCATCATTGCTGGACCAAGATGGCAAGCATACACTGGTAGGACCTCACTGTAGTGAAAAGAGAGGATGACCCACAAAAACCCCAGAATTTTTCCACAAGTAAAGCCACATTCGCAGAGCTGTATAAGGAGTTTCTTAGATATGGAGTAGAAGAACATCCATATGAGGGAACAATGGTTCATCCTCTTGTACAAGTTGGCAACTATTACAGATCTGCAGGCAATCTGCAAGTTTAGGTAGCAAAGTGGTCAAGGAGGATTTGCCAAGCAAGGTGAGAGGTCTGGGCAGGACATTCAGTGCCAGACAGGGTTGAGAGTGAGTGAGTGAGGATGCAGGGTCTTGGTGGATGTAGCATGTGGGAGCAGACTGGGAGGTGGAGGGTTTGGGCTGGAGGGGGGGTTCAGGAGAGGGGTGGGAGGGAGGGTGCAGGAGCAGGCTGGGGGGGGGGTGTGATCTGGAAGGGAGTTCAGGAGTAGGGTGGGGGCCTGAAAGGGAAATGCAAGAGTGGGAGGGGCATGAACATCTACCTCGTGCAACTGGGGAGAGGAGGGTGCATGTGGCTCTGCTCAAGTCTGTGCACTGCAGGGCACTGCCTCCGCTGCTGCCATTGGCTGCCATTCAGCCAGTTGGAGCAATGGAGGCCAGTGCTAGCACAGAGTGCTTCTGTAATCAATTCCTCCCTGAGGCAGAGCCCATGGCCTGGATTTGGCTCTGGTTTTCCTGGATCGGGCCCATGAGGCTCGGGGATCCCCTCTTCCCTTGCAGGGGGGACAGCTTTGAGGTTCGCAGTGGGCTGTAGATTCCCTACCTGGCTGCCCCTGAAGTACGAGCTGAGCAAATGCAGGATCTGGTGGAATGTGCTGTAGGCTGACTGAAAGCAGGATTGAGCTGTTCAATGATTAACGCTAGTGGCAGGTTTCATCACAGCTTCTGCTGAAAGGCTGACCTTTGAAAGACTTGTTAAATTGATGCAGTTAGTAGGTTCGCAGTGGGCTGTAGATTCCCTACCTGGCTGCCCCTGAAGTACGAGCTGAGCAAATGCAGGATCTGGTGGAATGTGCTGTAGGCTGACTGAAAGCAGGATTGAGCTGTTCAATGATTAACGCTAGTGGCAGGTTTCATCACAGCTTCTGCTGAAAGGCTGACCTTTGAAAGACTTGTTAAATTGATGCAGTTAGTCAGAGCATTCCTTTGAAATTTGGTGTGCCCTTGGGTTAACTACAAGCTTCTGG